GGAAAAACGTCATCCCTTGACCCATGTGGCGTTTGTTTCTTAACTTGATGACAATAGATATAAATATATTTCTATCTTCAGAGTTTCAGGGAAGTTTATCAAAAATGAAAGCAAAAGCGATCTGAATTTTCTTGAGAAAACAAAATGTGAAATGCAAGACTTCCACATTGATAAGACCTATGTACAATCTGGAGGTCAGACACTAAGGCAAGAAGTAGGCAGCCCTGTAGGCACCAATTGTGCTCCCCGTCCTGCTGATTTGTTTCTTTATGCATACGAATAGGAATTTCTGCTAGGATTGGAAAAACAGGAAAAAAAGGAAATTAGGTCAAGACGTTTTAGGTCTTTGAAATGCATTTAGAAGTGATATATATGCTTTTTGCCTCATGCATTTAGAAGTGATATATATGCTTTCTGCCTCTTGCATTTAGAAGTGATATATATGCTTTCTGCCTAATGCATTTAGAAGTGATATATATGCTCTCTGCCTCATGCATTTAGAAGTGATATATATGCTCTCTGCCTCATGCATTTAGAAGTGATATATATGCTTTCTGCCTCATGCATTTAGAAGTGATATATATGCTTTCTGCCTCATGCACTTAGAAGTGATATATATGCTTTCTGCCTCATGCATTTAGAAGTGATATATATGCTTTCTGCCTCATGGCATTCATTCACCTGATGAAGGAGTAAGCATATACTCCGAAACGTTGTGTTTCAAATAATAAAGAGGTTGACATCCATATATTCTCTTCCTTAAGACGTTTTAACTTAAGCCTAGGTATATCGGTGATCTGACATCGGTCAATAACCATCAAAATAACCAGTTCCCTTCCACTGATTTACCCATCTGAGCTAGAAATAAAGGAGACCCGTGAGACCACCTCATATGTCTCATATGCATAATCTAAGCATAAAGATTTAGTGTGACAAAAAAACTGCCCACAAGACTGTATGGCAAGAGGGATGCCTTCAACTTAATGATAGTCCAATGATATGCATTTCTTAGAAGTTGACGGAAGACAGAGAAGACACAATTTATGGATAACAACGTCTTTATTTTACTGCAATGCCTGTAATAAAAGCCATTACATTAAAATAAAGAAGTTCGTTATCCATTAATTGTGCCTACTTTGTTTCCCTTTATGTCGAACAATATTCCAGCAGTTCCAGCCTTTGGTGTCTACATTCCACTTTGGAGGTACAATCGAGCATGCTTTTCTACGAAGATTTCAAAAAGCGTCAAACAAGTCTTGCTCATTTGTTGTTATTACAATATTCAAGAACCCAGTAAATACTAAAACGTTTCATGGTAGACATTTGCAAATGCGACGTGTCAGTGATAAAAATGTTGTCCGAGGCAATTCCCTATTTTGACCTGTAACGTATGTTCGCGTGTTTTTTTCAGTTAAAAAAATTGACTTTTTTTTGCATGTGTTTGTGACGAGTGCCACCTGGGGAGCAGGATACGTTCACCTTTTCGTGAACACCTGGTATCATCACTATTGGATAGTAATTCATAAACACATGCTCCTGATATATTCGGAAATGTACAATCGTCTCTGCTTTTGGCAGAGAGATTCTTATGAATGTCGCTTGGATTTACATTACATTGCTGTGTATATTACATTAAACAATGAAAACAGTGAAGGTTTTCATGTTGCTTTCAAAGCTACCAGAATATTCTTTTCAGTATGGTATTGCTGTGTATATTACTCTCAACAGTGAATAATGTGTATGTTTCCTCATGAAGAGTTTACATTTGGTTGCGATATAATCTACAGGTTACACACAACCAAATGTTTTCCCATAGACTTCTATAGTAACGTTATGATTTTTTTTAAATAACTAAGCATTCAACAGCTAATACCTGTATGTGTGTGCACAGTTTGGCCTTAGAGCAGCAATAAAAAAAAATAAAAATGACTAGCTTAGTCAGCTCCTTTTCCGAGTACCGGAAGCTAAACACACCACCCCCAGTTTCGCACCAAATGTCACCTACTTCAAAATAGCTGTGGTCACATTCAGCATAAGTCATCATGTTGAAAAAGACAGTCCTAATAGAGAAAAACATGGTCAGTTTTAATAACTGGATGGATGTACATTTGAAAGACATAAAAATCTTACAGAATATCCTCCAATCACAGCCTGCAGATATCTCTCGATCTACACTGAAGGCTCCCTACGAAAACCGCACTGTCCAAACTGGTTCTGATTTGGTGTAGTAGAACCTGTAAAGTCGCTCGTTAAGGGTGTGTTTGGGCGTGTTTAAAATACTAACAAGTCATTTCACAGTGCAAACGTTGAATGATCCCATCAAGACATCTGTGACAACCTTTATGTATCGTGTGTCGAGGACAGGGTACTCATTGACCAGTGACAACAAGAGGAACGTCAGGTAGGTCTTGTGATTTATTGACTCTCCATCTGTTGTTAACGAATGTTTATATTGTCTGTGTTGTAGCTATCAAACTTATAACTCGCTGATGTATTTATGGTTTCCGACAAAAATAATGATACATACGAATTTGCTATCAAGGTTTATGAACACCCCGTGTTAATCTTATAGAACATGCGTCGTGTCGTGAGTTGATTCCCTCAGCGAATATAATTGTTCGATGTCGCAGTGAAGTTTATTAAAGGACCATCGCAGGGGAATATACGCCATACCAGAGCGTGTTTGATTAACGCAATATCTCGCGGTACCAGAAAATATGGGTCAACAATAAAAATACCGCTGGGATTTGTATCTCTACCGGCTGTTCTTCAACATCATTCTCAAAAACCTTGCTTTCTGGTCCAGGCATGTGTGTTTTATAAAATTATTGGATTGGATTGTGGATTGTAACAAAGTTAGGTAAACGGTTTATATGGTTCTACATACTTTTGTTGTGTGACTATTGCTAGTATTTGAGTTACCTCGATCTCACATGAAGGACATTGGTTCTGAAAATTACCATATTAAGCTGACACGCTGTGATATAACGGAAATGCCCTTCAAAGCGAAGCTATATAAACAAACATACCTAGTTCAAGCTGTATATTTGATCGTCATCTACACACGCGCACACATTTCGTGGGGTGAAATACTTAGGTATGAGAGTACTGGCTAAGATTTGTGATTAACTGGATAGATGGAGGCAATAGCACTGGATATATTCGGCGGAATAGTGTAAATATGTTGTCATGATAACTCGGACAATATAAGGACTAGTGTAGAAATGTCATCGTGAAGACACGGACAATATAAGGACTAGTGTAGGAATGTCGTTGTAAAGACTCGGACAATATAAGGACTTGTGTAGGAATGTCGTTGTAAAGACTCGGACAATATAAGGACTAGTGTAGGAATGTCATCGTGAAGACACGGACAATATAATGACTAGTGTAGGAATGTCATCGTGAAGACACGGACAATATAAGGACTATTGTAGGAATGTCATTGTAAAGACTCGGACAATATAAGGACTTGTGTAGGAATGTCGTTGTAAAGACTCGGACAATATAAGGACTTGTGTAAGGATGTCATCGTGAAGACTCGGACAATATAAGGACTATTGTAGGAATGTCCTTGTAAAGACTCGGATAATATGAGGACTTGTGTAGGAATGTCATCGTGAAGACACGGACAATATAATGACTTGTGTGGGAATGTCATCGTGAAGACACGGACAATATAAGGATTATTGTATGAATGTCGTTGTAAAGACTCGGACAATATACGGACTTGTGTAGGAATGTCATCGTGAAGACTCGGACAATATAAGGACTAGTGTAAGCATGTCATCGTGAAGACTCGGACAATATAAGGACTATTGTAGGAATGTCATCGTGAAGACTCGGACGACACTTAAAGGGTTTGTGGAGGAGAGTGTGTATTGTCCATTTCTCAGCAAATAACAGTGCGTGTGTGTGCACATCTGTGCATGTGTGTGTGAGCGTGTGTGTGTGTGAGTGAGAGAGAGTGTGTGTGTGAGCGTGTGTGTGTGTGTGAGTGAGAGAGAGAGAGAGTGTGTGTGAGCGTCTGTGTAAGTGTGAGTGTGTGTATGTGCGAGCGTGTGTGAGTGTGTGTGTGAGAGTGTGTATGAATGAGTGTGTGTGAGTGTGAGCGTGTGTGTGAGTGTGTGTGAGTGAGAGAGAGAGAGTGTGTGTGTGAGCGTGTGTGTGTGTGTGTGTGTGTGTGTGAGAGTGTGTATGAATGAGTGCGTGTGTGAGTGTGAGAGTGTTAGCGTGTGTGTTAGTGTGTGTGTGCGAGCGTGTGTGTGAGAGTGTGAGAGTATGTGTATGTGAGAGTGTGTGTGTGAGAGAGTATATGTGTGTGAGAGAGTATGTGTGTGTGAGAGAGAAAGAGAGTACGTATTGTCATGTGGGTGTGCTTGTGTCTGCGTAACTGCCCAAAGAAAGTATGAGATCATGAATATTTCAGGTGATATTTTGTGGTAGTGAAGGCCGAGCCGTACTCACGATTTCATATAAATACCCAACACAAATATTCATGAGCGCTAACTTTATTTGTTCAGTACAGATGGTTTGATATGTAGGATGACTTTTGAGTGAACTGTTGCGGGGTGGAGGGCATATGTAGGATGACTGTTGAGTGAACGGTTGCGGGGTGGAGGGCATATGTAGGATGACTGTTGAGTGAACTGTTGCGGGGTGGAGGGCATATGTAGGATGACTGTTGAGTGAACTGTTGCGGGGTGGAGGGCATATGTAGGATGACTGTTGAGTGAACTGTTGCCGGTGGAGGGCATATGTAGGATGACTGTTGAGTGAACTGTTGCGGGGTGGAGGGCATATGTAGGATGACTGTTGAGTGAACTGTTGCCGGTGGAGGGGATATGTAGGATGACTGTTGAGTGAACTGTTGCCGGTGGAGGGCATATGTAGGATGACTGTTGAGTGAACTGTTGCGGGGTGGAGGGCATATGTAGGATGACTGTTGAGTGAACTGTTGCCGGTGGAGGGCATATGTAGGATGACTGTTGAGTGAACTGTTACGGGGTGGAGGGCATATGTAGGATGACTGTTGAGTGAACTGTTGCCGGTGGAGGGGATATGTAGGATGACTGTTGAGTGAACTGTTGCGGGATGGAGGGCATATGTAGGATGACTGTTGAGTGAACTGTTGCGGGGTGGAGGGCATATGTAGGATGACTGTTGAGTGAACTGTTGCCGGTGGAGGGCATATGTAGGATGACTGTTGAGTGAACTGTTGCCGGTGGAGGGCATATGTAGGATGACTGTTGAGTGAACTGTTGCGGGGTGGAGGGCATATGTAGGATGACTGTTGAGTGAACTGTTGCGGGGTGGAGGGCATATGTAGGATGACTGTTGAGTGAACTGTTGCGGGGTGGAGGGCATATGTAGGATGACTGTTGAGTGAACTGTTGCGGGATGGAGGGCATATGTAGGATGACTGTTGAGTGAACTGTTGCCGGTGGAGGGCATATGTAGGATGACTGTTGAGTGAACTGTTGCGGGATGGAGGGCATATGTAGGATGACTGTTGAGTGAACTGTTGCGGGGTGGAGGGCATATGTAGGATGACTGTTGAGTGAACTGTTGCGGGATGGAGGGCATATGTAGGATGACTGTTGAGTGAACTGTTGCGGGGTGGAGGGCATATGTAGGATGACTGTTGAGTGAACTGTTGCCGGTGGAGGGCATATGTAGGATGACTGTTGAGTGAACTGTTGCGGGGTGGAGGGCATATGTAGGATGACTGTTGAGTGAACTGTTGCCGGTGGAGGGGATATGTAGGATGACTGTTGAGTGAACTGTTGCGGGATGGAGGGCATATGTAGGATGACTGTTGAGTGAACTGTTGCGGGGTGGAGGGCATATGTAGGATGACTGTTGAGTGAACTGTTGCCGGTGGAGGGCATATGTAGGATGACTGTTGAGTGAACTGTTACGGGGTGGAGGGGATATGTAGGATGACTGTTGAGTGAACTGTTACGGGGTGGAGGGCATATGTAGGATGACTGTTGAGTGAACTGTTGCGGGGTGGAGGGCATATGTAGGATGACTGTTGAGTGAACTGTTGCCGGTGGAGGGGATATGTAGGATGACTGTTGAGTGAACTGTTGCGGGATGGAGGGCATATGTAGGATGACTGTTGAGTGAACTGTTGCCGGTGGAGGGCATATGTAGGATGACTTTTGAGTGAACTGTTGCCGGTGGAGGGCATATGTAGGATGACTGTTGAGTGAACTGTTGCGGGGTGGAGGGCATATGTAGGATGACTGTTGAGTGAACTGTTGCCGGTGGAGGGCATATGTAGGATGACTGTTGAGTGAACTGTTGCCGGTGGAGGGCATATGTAGGATGACTGTTGAGTGAACTGTTACGGGGTGGAGGGCATATGTAGGATGACTGTTGAGTGAACTGTTGCGGGATGGAGGGCATATGTAGGATGACTGTTGAGTGAACTGTTGCCGGTGGAGGGCATATGTAGGATGACTGTTGAGTGAACTGTTGCCGGTGGAGGGCATATGTAGGATGACTGTTGAGTGAACTGTTGCGGGGTGGAGGGCATATGTAGGATGACTGTTGAGTGAACTGTTGCCGGTGGAGGGCATATGTAGGATGACTGTTGAGTGAACTGTTGCCGGTGGAGGGCATATGTAGGATGACTGTTGAGTGAACGCTTGCGGGGTGGAGGGCATATGTAGGATGACTGTTGAGTGAACTGTTGCGGGATGGAGGGGATATGTAGGATGACTGTTGAGTGAACTGTTGCGGGGTGGAGGGCATATGTAGGATGACTGTTGAGTGAACTGTTGCCGGTGGAGGGCATATGTAGGATGACTGTTGAGTGAACTGTTACGGGGTGGAGGGCATATGTAGGATGACTGTTGAGTGAACTGTTGCGGGATGGAGGGGATATGTAGGATGACTGTTGAGTGAACTGTTGCGGGGTGGAGGGCATATGTAGGATGACTGTTGAGTGAACTGTTGCGGGGTGGAGGGCATATGTAGGATGACTGTTGAGTGAACTGTTGCCGGTGGAGGGCATATGTAGGATGACTGTTGAGTGAACTGTTACGGGGTGGAGGGCATATGTAGGATGACTGTTGAGTGAACTGTTGCGGGATGGAGGGGATATGTAGGATGACTGTTGAGTGAACTGTTGCGGGGTGGAGGGCATATGTAGGATGACTGTTGAGTGAACTGTTGCCGGTGGAGGGCATATGTAGGATGACTGTTGAGTGAACTGTTGCCGGTGGAGGGCATATGTAGGATGACTGTTGAGTGAACTGTTGCGGGATGGAGGGCATATGTAGGATGACTGTTGAGTGAACTGTTGCGGGGTGGAGGGCATATGTAGGATGACTGTTGAGTGAACTGTTGCCGGTGGAGGGCATATGTAGGATGACTGTTGAGTGAACTGTTCCCGGTGGAGGGCATATGTAGGATGACTGTTGAGTGAACTGTTGCGGGGTGGAGGGCATATGTAGGATGACTGTTGAGTGAACTGTTGCCGGTGGAGGGCATATGTAGGATGACTGTTGAGTGAACTGTTGCCGGTGGAGGGCATATGTAGGATGACTGTTGAGTGAACTGTTGCGGGGTGGAGGGCATATGTAGGATGACTGTTGAGTGAACTGTTGCGGGGTGGAGGGCATATGTAGGATGACTGTTGAGTGAACTGTTGCGGGATGGAGGGGATATGTAGGATGACTGTTGAGTGAACTGTTACGGGGTGGAGGGCATATGTAGGATGACTGTTGAGTGAACTGTTGCGGGATGGAGGGGATATGTAGGATGACTGTTGAGTGAACTGTTGCGGGGTGGAGGGCATATGTAGGATGACTGTTGAGTGAACTGTTGCCGGTGGAGGGCATATGTAGGATGACTGTTGAGTGAACTGTTGCCGGTGGAGGGCATATGTAGGATGACTGTTGAGTGAACTGTTGCGGGATGGAGGGGATATGTAGGATGACTGTTGAGTGAACTGTTACGGGGTGGAGGGCATTTGTAGGATGACTGTTGAGTGAACTGTTGCGGGATGGAGGGGATATGTAGGATGACTGTTGAGTGAACTGTTGCGGGATGGAGGGCATATGTAGGATGACTGTTGAGTGAACTGTTGCCGGTGGAGGGCATATGTAGGATGACTGTTGAGTGAACTGTTGCGGGGTGGAGGGCATATGTAGGATGACAGTTATGCTAGCGGATGTATGGGTAATCTATGGCAATCTATCGGACAGATGGAAGGATAGCCGGCCGGTCAGTTGGGTGGATAGCCGGCCGGGCAGATGGATGGATAGCCGGCCTGACAGATGGATGGGTAGCCGGCCGGACAGTTGGATGGATAGCCGGCCGGACAGATGGATGGATAGCCGGCCGGACAGACGGATGAATAGCCGGTTTGGCAGTTGGGTGGATAGCCGGCCGGACAGTCGGATGGATAGCCGGCCGGACAGTTGGAGGGATAGCCGGCCTGACAGATGGATGGGTAGCCGGCCGGACAGTTGGATGGATAGCCGGCCGGACAGATGGATGGATAGCCGGCCGGACAGATTGATGGATATAGGATGGATAGTAAATTCAAGGGTCGACAAAGGATTATGATTTTGCGCTCTATTAGTCTGTGTAGTACTGAACCACGTTGTTACCGCTTACGACATTACTGTTTGAGGTAGTACCTTAAAATAGAGTTAACTCAAGACATAATCAAGAAGACAGTCAATTCCGTTTCGCAGTGATCTTTACTTTGAAAACAATTAGTTCCTGCTATTATGATCTTATTTTTGAAAGATGTTTTTTTCACCAACGATACAATTCTCATTTAGAAGTAGAGGCTTGTAATTTGATGAAATTCGATTAAAGAACTTCACATTAATACAAAGATGATACGATAGATGAATAACAGTGCGTGTAACTGACTTGTACTTGTACCGCTGAAAGCTATTTTGAAGATGATTATAACTCGAATAAGTAGCAATCTTTTGAGACAATAGTATCAGGAACAGTAGTGTTAGTATCAGTGCTATTATTATAATTATTTTTATTTTTATTATTATTATTTACAGATTAAAATAAACAAATCTAGCAAAGACGGTTTGGGTGATCCTGTTGTTGCTCTGCCTAGACGAACCCACCTAGAACTCTTTGGAGAACGTCAAGACTCCCCAACACTGAAACCTTCCGCATTACCCAGATTGTCAGAAGGTCTGTATTCCTGGTGGCAGGGACAGGAAATTCAATTATATATATGATTTCATTGGATTTATAAAAAAGGACAAGATCAAGTTTGTTGGCCTGGATAGGCCTGAGGCTATATACCGTCCTATCCCAAAGGGACATTTGTGTCAAAACCACATGCATGGCGAAAAAAACGATCGAGCCACTCCATCATGTCGCTTAAGATTCTGTGTCTGTTCCGGGTGGGAAGTGACTGGTCCTGTTTGCCTTCTGTTTATCTTTTCAGGTCAGCCGACTTTATCCAAAGCCAAGGACTCCATGGTTGCTGTTCCTCTCAACACATTACACATTACCTCGATCGTTCAGATAGCCTCTCCTTGAAAAAATGAGACTGGGCCGATTTGATATTGCAATTCGCTTGTTTGACACGCATTTTTGTACCCTCCGGCAGTACAGAACGGTACAAAAATCAACATTGACATTGAGATTATGTTCCACATCCTTGGCTCAGTTAAGGACACTGTGGAATGCCTTGTTGTCATCATGAATCTTGACATACTTCACAAGAGGATCATCAGACAAATACATGTGTGCAAAAGTGCACAATACAATTCTATCATGAAGACCCTCCGTGTTAATCAAACCACACACTCCCATTATAATTGGTAAATATAAGCGATTGAGGGAAGGGCGAGGGTGGTGGGATCTATTGTCTGGCATAATTCTTCGTGTGAGTGTGTCCGTACCCTGACTTTCTCGTTTCGTCCAAACTTCGACACAAAAAGAATACGAAAGGACGGGTACAGCATAAGTATTTGTGACTTCGACTTTATTGCGAGCGTTCAGCTCTGAACTCCAAATGTTCTTAAGTCTACACTCGCTTCGAGGAGGTTTTTCTATGATATGGGCATTCTGGAGGTTGTCCCTAATATCATTAGAAAAGGACTCAACAATGAGAATCTAGTGTGGATTCTCCTTTGGCAATAAGTAACAGGCCATCCATGTAATTATTATTATTATTAGGGCTCCAAGCCGAAAGGCTGTAGAGCCCTATTGTAATCGTTCGATTTATTATCATTATTATTATTTATTATTTATTATCCGCCGATTTTTGTACCTGCCCTAGCAAAATAACCACTGGCTCGATTTTGTTCAAACTTTGTGTGTGTTTGTAGACCGTTGGGTACCGTTGACAAGCATGGGTTGCTGAAGATCAGTTCTAGCCGGATCTTCACGGTATATGGTATTAGTAGTGATTGTAAGAATAGAGTTACTACTACTACTACTACTAGTAGAATCGCTGTGGCAATATACTCACCCGCAAAAGAAACGCAAGTCGAATATGCAGTATACATGTTATTTATTTTCAACAGTAAAGACAAGAAATACTAATAGGGCAAGATTGACAAAAATGTGACTGAAGACAGTTTAATGGATTAAAAGGCAGATGACATGATTGGTTTTTTTCAAATGTTAAGCGCTTACACAGTTTCGGGTCAATACCCAAATATCAGTCAATACCTGGTGTGACCACCATAAGCATTGATCACTGCCACACATCTCCTGTACATTGAGTGGATCAGACGATTTGTGAAGGCCCTAGGGATCCTCCTGCACACGTCCAGAGCAGCTGTGCGTAGTGAATCGGCAGTTGTAGGGACTGGGCGCACATTGTGCAGACGCCTTTGAACCTCATCCCACAAGTGTTCGATGGGGTTCAGATCAGGGCTGAGGGCTGGCCACGGTAGAACACGGATGTTGTGTTGTTGCAGAAAGGCCATGGTAGCTCTGGCAACATGGGGACGAGCGTTGTCCTGCTGGAAAATGTGTTGTTGATGTTGTGCAAAAAATGGAATAACGTGGGGTCTGATCACTTGGTCGATATATCGCTGAGCAGTGACGCCGTGTCGCTGACCTTGACCAACATTCAGAAAGCACATGGGTCCAAGTCTCGCATTAAGTCCAATCCCTGCCCATATCATGACGCTAGGTCCATCCAATGGATCCCTTTCCAAAACGTTTCTGTCAGCGAAACACAAAAGCGACTTTCATCAGAGAAGATGACACGCCTCCACTCACGATGACGCCAATTGCGATGACCCTGTGCCCACTGAAGTCGTGCTTGTCGATGCCGGGGTTGGAGAACAGGACGACGTGCTTGTCGGCGACATCTGAGGTTGTTGGAACGGAGACGTCGGATCACAGTGTCCCGGCTAATGTGTCGATTATGTGTTCCTATGGTCTGTCGAGCACTTTCACGAGCAGTTAGGAACGGATGTCGCTGGTGTTGACGTGTAATCTGCCGATCTTGTCGAGGTGTGGTGACCCTAGGACGACCGCTCCGAGGTAGGTCATCTGTGGTCTGTGTAGCATTGTATCGATGCAGGAGACGGTAAATTGTGGTTATGTTAACGTTGAACGTTGACGGGCAACATCTTGGACAGATTCTCCAGCTTCCAAACGTCCGATAGCCTGGTTTCTGTTGTTTTTTAGTTAGGCGTGGCATTGTTGACCAAGGAGTGGTAGGTCCAAGAATCGGCCACAGTTTTATACCCACTACAGTTCGTGACAGTTCGTGCATTTTCGATTTCGCGAGAAATGGGTGCATGATACCCACATATTCATTGAAATGGTGCGTTTTGGCGATTCGTTTTTTATGTTGCGTTTTTACTCGGGCCTTCCAAAATGCAACCAAAAATATTGATTACACCATCAGGCTTCACTACATGCTAAAACTCGTATCAATTTATGGTTCCGTGTTTGTTATCTATTTGCTTAAAATCACTTGCGTTTCTTTTGCGTGTGAGTATAGTAGTAGAATTAAAGTAGTAGCAGTAATAGTAGTAGCAGTAACACTGAGACTGGTAGTCGTTATTGCTATAGAAGAGGTATTAGAGGTTACGCTTATGATACTGGATTCAGTGTGAGGAGTGTTTTGCTTTAGCTGCTATCAGTGATAGAAATCTGCATACAACTACCAGAGAGAGTGCAGTGTTCCCACTTTCAAACCCTTGGCTAGGCCTACTTCCACAACTCGTGACAACCAGGTGACGTGTATGATCAATACACCCCATTGAGGAACAATGCGGCAATATGAAAACAGCTTCTTTTTCCACTTTGTCCAGCGCATTGACTCCCACGGGGCCGGCTGGTGGGGAAGTGTGTATTCTCCTCCTCGTGTCAAAGAGTTCACATTGATAATAGTAAGGAGAGTTCCTGTTCTTCAACTCTTAAGGCTTGAGTGCGGCTTTGCTTTGGTAGATAAAGCAAACTAATGCCCTTGAAGCTAAATATACATCGGGGTGAAGCTAGAAGAAATTAAGATGGGTTGACCGTGTAGGGAGGGGTGGCCGTATAGGGAGGGGTGACCGTGTAGGGAGGGGTGGTCATGAAGGGAGGGGTGGCCGTGTAGGGAGGGGTGGTCGTGTAGGGAGGGGTGGCCGTATAGGGAGGGGTGGTCATGTAGGGAGGGGTGACCGTATAGGGAGGGGTGACCGTGTAGGGAGGGGTGGTCATGAAGGGAGGGGTGGCCGTGTAGGGAGGGGTGGTCATGTAGGGAGGTGACCGTGTAGGGAGGGGTGGTCATGTAGTGAGGTGGTCATGTAGGGAGGTTGCCGTGTAGGGAGGTGACCGTGTAGGGAGGTGGCCGTGTAGGGAGGTGACCGTGTAGGGAGATGGCCGTGTAGGGAGGTGACCGTGTAGGGAGATGGCCGTGTAGGGAGGTGACCGTGTAGGGAGGTTGCCGTGTAGGGAGGTGGCCGTGTAGGGAGGTGGCCGTGTAGGGAGGTGGTCATGTAGGGAGGTGGCCGTGTAGGGAGGTGACCGTGTAGGGAGGTGACCGTGTAGGGAGGTGGTCATGTAGGGAGGTGACCGTGTAGGGAGGTGGCCGTGTAGGGAGGTGACCGTGTAGGGAGGTGGCCGTGTAGGGAGGTGGTCATGTAGGGAGGTGACCGTGTAGGGAGGTGACCGTGTAGGGAGGTGGCCGTGTAGGGAGGTGGCCGTGTAGGGAGGTGACCGTGTAGGGAGGTGGTCATGTAGGGAGGGGTGGTCATGTAGGGAGGTGACCGTGTAGGGAGGTGGCCGTGTAGGGAGGTGACCGTGTAGGGAGGTGACCGTGTAGGGAGGTGGTCATGTAGGGAGGTGGCCGTGTAGGGAGGTGGCCGTGTAGGGAGGTGACCGTGTAGGGAGGTGACCGTGTAGGGAGGGGTGGCCGTGTAGGGAGTTGGTCGTGTATGGAGGGGTGGTCATGTAGGGAGGTGGTCATGTAGGGAGGTGGTCATGTAGGGAGGTGGCCGTGTAGGGAGGTGGTCATGTAGGGAGGTGGTCGTGTAGGGAGGTGGTCATGTAGGGAGGTGACCGTGTAGGGAGGTGACCGTGAAGGGAGGTGACCGTGTAGGGAGGTGACCGTGTAGGGAGTTGGTCATGTAGGGAGGGGGTCATGTAGGGAGGTGGTCATGTAGGGAGGTGGCCGTGTAGGGAGGTGGCCGTGTAGGGAGGGGTGGTCATGTAGGGAGTTGGTCGTGTAGGGAGGGGTGGTCATGTAGGGAGGTGACCGTGTAGGGAGGTGACCGTGAAGGGAGGTGGCCGTGTAGGGAGGTGGCCGTGTAGGGAGTTGGTCGTGTAGGGAGGGGTGGTCATGTAGGGAGGTGACCGTGTAGGGAGGTGACCGTGAAGGGAGGTGGCCGTGTAGGGAGGTGGCCGTGTAGGGAGATGGCCGTGTAGGGAGGTGACCGTGTAGGGAGATGGCCGTGTAGGGAGGTTGCCGTGTAGGGAGATGGCCGTGTAGGGAGGTGGTCATGTAGGGAGGTGGTCATGTAGGGAGGTGACCGTGTAGGGAAGTGGTCATGTATGGAGGTGGCCGTGTAGGGAGATGGCCGTGTAGGGAGGTGGTCATGTAGGGAGGTGACCGTGTAGGGAGGTGGTCATGTAGGGAGGTGACTGTGTAGGGAGGTGGCCGTGTAGGGAGGTGACTGTGTAGGGAGGTGCCTATGTAGGTAATATTAGTATTAGTATTAGTATTAGTATTAGTAGTAGTAGTAGTAGTAAGGTTACCGTCAGATATATATCGCCCGATAATCGAAATCGCATTTCAACTGACCAATATCGACAGTTATTTATTCAACCGATTCAATATTCTTGCAGTTACAATGAGTCTACATTTCACAACTCTGTGAGTTGCAATCGAGCATGCTTTTTCTTCGAGTCGAGTCGCATCCTATCCGACTGTTGCTCGAAAGTTGTTTGATGAGGGTCACGACGTTCGAGGCCTTATAATTGTAAAACTTTCAAAACGTTTTATGGACAACGTTAGGGTGATATTTCAGTGACAAAAATGATGTTCGATGCTCTGTCCTACTTTTACTTGTATCATCTGTTCCCAGTGTTTGTTAAGGCGAACATTTGCATGTGTTCGTGGGGCAGGATGCACTCACCGTTACGCGGCCTCATCACTCTTTGACTATGATTCATAAGTATTGCTTTTTATATAGTCGGAATCACACAATGGCTGTCTTGTGAGGAGGGTTTCTGTCACTGCTATTTATATTCCTTTTCGTTCTTGAGGGTACAACTTACAAAGTATTCTTTCAATACTTATTTATTTTCATTGACCAATTTTCTCTCTCAACATTTTCTCTCATCACAACATGAATAAACACGGGCCTGATTTTCCCGTTATACAGTGAGGAACGTCTTCCATTTACTGCCTACATCTATAATACAGAGGCAGATAGGACCACATTAATATTGAATGAACGGGGTAAAACCACGCGGGAAAACTCTCTCTGCATACAGGCCTTCGGGATTAAACGACGTTCTGTCCGTTGACTGATTAAGTGAGTAGCAGGATCGAGCAAGTGTTAAGATGGCGGACGAAAGGAAACGGTCTGTCGTTATTCGACGTGACAAAGTAAGCCGAGCATGTCCACACAGATCAATACTCATGCCAAGTATCTCTTTATAACAGAATTCCTTTAACAGGTCTTTTGCATATTGTCTGTACACACAACCACATTTCTTCGTTATCATTTTAAGAGGAGGGTAGTCTAGTGGTTGAAGCGTTCGCTCGTCCCGCCTGGCCTGGGTGCAATTCCCAGCATAGGTACACTGTGTATGCCCATTTCTGGTGTCCCATGCCGTGATATTGCCTATATGTTACGCTCAGTCAGGTATAATGCATATGATTAGCACAGTAGATTATATTAATACACCACAGGTATATTCCTACATTGATACCTATTTTTCTACCAGTACTACCACCATACAAAACCAGCTACTAACAGCTACTAGTACAAACTACTACTAACAGCTACTAATACTACTCATCAAACAACTTTCGAGCAACAGTCGGATAGGATGCGACTTGCAACCTTTGAAGAAAAAGCATGCTCGATTGCAACTCACAGAGTTGTGAAATGTAGACTCGTTGTAACTGCAAGCATATTGAATCGGTTGAATAAATAGCTATCGATATTGGTCAGTTGAAATGCGATTTCCATTACTACTACTACTACTACTACTACTACTACTACTACTACTATTACTTCTGCTGCTGCTGCTACTACTACCACTACTACTACTACTACTACTCCGAGTCATAACTACAACTACTACTACTACCACTGAACTACTACTACTACTACTACAACCAACACGTATACTACTACTACTACTGCCAACACCACTACTACTACTACTACTACTACTACTACTACTACTACTACTACTACTACTACAACTACTACTACCACTCTGAGTCACTACTACTACAACAACTACTACTACTAGTGAGTGAGTGAGTGAGTGAGTTGGGCTTAACGCCGCTTTTAACAGTATTCCAGTTATATCACGGCATGTCAGCTTAATGTGGGAGGAAAGCCCGAAGTGATGCAGGTCTCAGGCGTTTACCACTTCGGTGAAACCCACGAGCACGGATATGGTTCTGACAAACCTAGAAACGTAATCGGAAACCTAGAACCCATAATCATAGGTTTCTGGCGTGCCCAAGGGACGCAACTCTGCACAGCGAATCGCGGCGACTTAGACGACTGGGCCACCCGTGCCCCCACTACTACTACTACCACTGAACTACTACTACTATCACTACTACTACTACAACAACAACTACTACTACTACTACTACTACTACTACTACTACTACTACTACTACAACAACAACAACAACTACTACTACTACTACTACTACTACTCCTACAACCAACACTTCTACTACTACTACTACTACTGCCAACACGTCTACTACTACTACCACCACCACCACGTTTGCTTCTACTACGTAGAAAGACATAATATATTTACTTATATTCATATCAAAGACAAATAAAAACATTGATTGATACAAATAGATGTAGATCTAGTCGTGTCTGTTAGAAGTGACAAAACCCTTTTTTACAAATTCATACAAAATCTCTGCTCAAAGTCCATTGTTCGACTTCATAATAAGCATGTGTTTATGATTCACTATCAAATAGTGATCCTACCACGTGTTCGCGTAAAGGTGAAGGTAGCCTGCCCCAACTATGGCATCACAAATACATGCAGTGGCAAGTCAATTGTCACCGGAAAATACACAGAAACATATGGTACAAGTCAAAATAGGGAATTGCATCGGACTTCTCAATTGTCACTGTCGCGTCAAATAAGGAAATGTTCTCCACATGTTCTCCATTTGCCGCTCTTTGAAATCTTCTTCGAAAGAGCATTATCGAATTGTACCTCAAAAGTTGTGAAATGTAGACAATGTCTTCCACATGTCAACCAGAAAACTTTTAGGAAGCTTTACTGAGGCCGTGAATGTTATAACTTTGATCAAACGAACTTCTGAGCAAGAGTCGTATGACGCTCTTTGAAATCTTGTATCTCAAAAGTTGTGAAATGTAAACACCAAATGGTTGAAACTGATAGAATAGTGATCGTCATACATGGAAAGTTGACTATTGGAAAGTCGAAGTCATCCCTCTTTTCATACAGTCATGTTGAGAGTGTTTTGTCACTCTGAATCTTTATACATATATCTAACTATTAAACAGATGAGTCGACTTCTACTTCCGGTGGGTAAATCAGTGGAAAGGAATATCCTCTCATGCCCACATTGTCTTGTTTTACTTGAAATCTCAGTAGAAAGTCCAACTCATGTACATAAAAACCAGATCAGCAAGGAGGAGAGCACAATTGGAATACATGGCTGTGCCTATTTCTTGCCTAAATGTCTTACCCGCAAGATGATATCCATGAGGAATACCAGTATTTCACAGATTGTTTTCTCAGTAAAATTATGATGACATTTGCTTTCGTATTTGACAAATTGTCCTGAACCTCTGAAGATAGATATGTAATTATATCTATGGTCATGTAGTAAGTCAAGTGTCCGTTCTGCAACACGTTCCTTCAGTTGAACAATTTGGATTCAAGAACATGCGATATTCGAGACTGTTTCTGATTTGGGCAAACGTTTCAATTCAATTTCAAGGACTATACTCTGGATTTGATACTATCGGATCTCACTGTGTCTGGACCTATAATCAAATGTTGGTCGAGCCGTTAAATTTCTTTCAATAAAAAAGAGTATAGTATTGTTCTTAATTTGTGCAGTTTTAATGGTTCCTGAAGGAGTGGAAACTAATCTTCAAAATGAATGGTATCATTTGGCCGTCGACCTTAATTATGACCATGGCTGCGTCAGTGTCTTTATAGTTTCTTCGAACCGCCTCCGTGGTCTTGTGGTAGAGCGTCCGCCCGGAGAGCGGAAGGTCCAGGGTTCGATCCCGGGCCGCGTCATACAAAAAGACGTTAAAAGATTGTACTTGTTGTTACCCTGTCTGGCGCTCGGCATTAAGGGGCTAAAACAAGGACTGGTCGTCTCGGAGTCAGTATACTGTGTCTGAGTGGGGTATTCATGTTAAACTGCGGCATGGTATCTCAGTGAGCTAGCACTATAAATCGGCATCAGTCCGGACTAGTACAAGCAGCCACACACACACATACACGTGCATGCACGTCGCTATATAAGTGCAATAATCTTGGACGCGACGTTAAACCCAATTTCACCTCACCTCACCTGATAGTTTCTTCAATACACGAAGTATTTTGGTCAAGACATTGTGTGACGTCAATGTTAATTCCAAATAACAGATAAATGTCTTCAAGCATTTCTAATTTGACATAAGTTTCTAAATCTAACAAATCAACTATAAAAGAGGAAAATCATTTCTTTCTTACAATAGAGTTTCACAGTGTACAAAGTTTACATTCTCTGGAAATAATATTGCGTGAAGGTCCCAGAAAACAATTTGCTAAGCGGATCTGTATTTCGGATGTAAATATATGACTTGCAAGTGTACGTGATACAGTTTAATTTAGTGTTAATTTTGATATATCGACATATGTTTGATTTATTTAATAGATCACTCACAAATACTCCTTAAGCGTATGTACGTTATCATAATTATATAACTCGTCTACATTTCAATTTCGGAGGACGGGCGCCATGTTTTCCATGATTATCTAAATTATATTTATGACTGACTGACAACACATCTCTTCCATATATCGATAGAGACAAGAATCTCCGAAGTCCAAGATTCGCTATGGTAGAATCTGAATGAGACCGCTTATCACGGCCATGTACAGCACATGAAACGTATTTGTGTGGACTTTTTATAGCCTCTATATGTTGAGCTTCTATTCCAGACATTAATTAACATATATTTACACTTGTTATTGACAAAGACCAACACCCATCAAACTGGGTTTAAATCTAACTAGAACCCTCACTCATTC